CGGGGACCCTCAGCGGCCTACGCATATCATTTTCTTCAGTACGTCGTTCAGCTTTTCTAATCTACAAACGTTTCCCCGCTAGAAAATGAATAGAACAGCCCAGAGGAGTCTTTTTCCCCAAATGGCCGACGTCTCTCAAAAGTAAGGCAATTATAACATTCCAGCTCGCCAGATAACGACTTGCTCTAATTAACTGAGCCATCATTTGACGTGCTATGACGACATATGCTGAAAAATGAGCTTGGCAAATTTAACGTGTCTACGTATACATGTACAGAAGTTCAGAACTTCTCATCTGGTGGTAAATCTGACAAACAAACAAGTGCGAAGCACGTTGAAAAATCTAGTTGAACCGTTTGATTCAGTGCCGATGTGTGTTGTAAGTATATGCCCCGGTAGATAATGACACTCTAGAGGAATGCCGTAACGACCAGTTTTCCCCCCATTACGCCCGAGCGGCGCCTCCAACGCAACTGAGAAGAAATGATTGAAGTTTTGCCCCTGGCGGTTCTTCGCAACCTGCAGTGTCATAGTTTCCAGCCGCAGTTTGATTTATACGCATGCAAACCATATGAGCATACTTTCTTGTTTTGGTAAAGGCTTTTCTTAGTTTTCCACTATGCCCTTAAAGAAATTGAGGGGGTCTGTGGCCATAGTGTACGTTTCCTTCCTTTGATTTTGACAGAACTGGAATGGCCTGGGAATACTCGGTCACAATGTAGCATGCAGTTCTTGCCGTCAAACAGTTCTTGAGTTATCCTACTTCTATTTTTTTTTCAACAAACATGCAGTTCCAGAACAGGCTGCTGGGGCGGGGCACCCATTCTGCGGTTTATGCTTAAAATTCTAACCGCAGAAACCTTACTTTGCTCAGCTATTATTAAGAATACACGTTTTGGCTGACGCCTCCTAAGCAGTATCTATTAGTTTCTTACCCGTAGGACCCAGGCGATAAGAACTGATTGTATTCTAGATGATACATCTTTGTAACAAGTACAATGCATAAGGTTGGAAAAATGACAGGTAAATGTGACTTGATTGGCCTGTATATAAAAGATGGGATGCCAATCATTGTAACAACCTGTATTTTGAGAACGACCAGGCAATTTACATTTATTCATAACCTCATTACGTTAATAGCCTGCTTGGTTTGGTTACTTCCCATTAATTTTATTAGCTACGTGTAGTCAAAGCGCCTCTAGTACATGTTTCGAATCGGTCTTTTCCAAGCCGACTACAGGGCAGGTGATGTATTAACCTGGAGTGCACCAGGCTTCGCTCATGTTTAGATCTTGTGATATGGATGTATATATGTGTGCTGAGTCATTTTTTTTTTCAGGAAGGTTGGGTTGATTTATATCCCTGTCATGCCCAAAGAGGTCGAGTGGTATTAACGTGTCAGACTTAATCCCTTTATGTCCCCTGATAGTGATGAGCCAATCATTCACAAATTAGAGGGTGTCCACCTCCTCGTCAGCCCCGCCTTCTCCAGCGGAGCGTGCCATGCATCAATGAATGTAATTCTCTCCTGTTGCTGTAACTAGTATTATCTCTAAGCGCGCGCGCGATAGCTAGCAGTACGTAGCGTCTTCAGAATTCAGAGAGAGCCGCGCGCAGTAGCAGAACAGTTGGGTACTAGGATGTTCGCAGCCCGTGGCGCTCTAGCAGGCACGCGTCTAGCCAGGGAAAGGCGGCGGAAGCTCCGTGAGTTACGGGAACGGGACAGACGGCGACGACAGAGACGTCTGAGGACCGTTATCATCCACAAAGGCACGGTTAAGATCTGTTCGCTGCCGACTGTTTGGATACTGTTGGGACTGCTCGCGTGCGGAGCTGGAACGGTGATGTCCATGGTTAGTTACGACTTCCTAGAAGTGGAGTTTCCCATGACGAACAGGTACAACAGCACGCGGAATGATCGGCGGGAATCGGCGGAGGATTTCGATCGGATTCGCCGCATGCAAGAGGCCCTGTTCCAAGAAGTAGGCTACTCCGATAATGTCGACAGTGAATACATCCTCGGCCGGGGGAAAAATTATCCGCCACAATTTCGGCTGGCCGGACCTCTTCTTATCGGCGGGGGGATCTTCATCATGCTCTGCGGAATAACAGCGCTGCTGGAGAACAGGGACGGTGAAACGGTACGTGCACCGATGATTGTGTTGGAGCCTCCAACCGGCCACGGACCACCAGGACGCCCGTCCGCGAACTTTGATATGCTCATGTCGAACTCGTGTCCAAATTTCAGATACCTCCCCGAGCCTGTGAGCGTGAATGTCAAACGTGGGTACCTGAAGCATCCTCCCTCGCCCGCGCCCCTCCGCTCCGCCTGCCCCCCGATGGGATTCAGCGCTTAGAACGCCCAGAGGCCTCGATCTCGCCAAATCTCAGCAGCTCAACATATTCTAGATGATGTTCAACACTGCGCGCTCAAACTGAATACCACCGGGGGACGAAAACACTCGAGAAGATTTCCCAGGATTGTGTTGCTGTGGTCGTTTGGAGATCATATATCGTGTTTAGCATGTTAAAAAGCTATTCTGTGAGAATCGCGGTCAGTGTTACACATATCTCTGCTGCCGATGTTATACATTGTACACAGAGGATTGCGTGTAATGCTATTTGCATATGTGAATTACGGAAGAAGAATATAATTGTGGTAATTCTAGTAATTTCTGGTGGTTCAATAAAAACAGCTTTGATGTGTTACATATATTGTGACAGCGTGCCGTAGCTACTAAATAATAACCTGGGAAAACTGAACAAAATATTATTATGGAATGGTAGTTTGAGTCCTGCCGTTTTGTTACAGGTTAGCACTATGTTCCGTGAATTTTTATTGCATGTTTTCACAATTATTTTCCACACGTTCAAGGCCATATGAAGTCACCACGTTAATATTTATTGTTAGGAATTATACTCCGTGTATTCCAAAAGTGTTCACGAAATAAAAATGGACTATTTCACAAAATATACGTAGTTGACCTTTATTCAATTTCCGAACAACCAGTTTTTATATTTCTTGTTCGTGAACATGTCACATAGGTTTGCCTTTGTTGCTGGAAACTTTGGAAGACAAGCTTAAGAGCTCAATTTTTTTCTTGATTTTTGGCATCTAATATGGCCATACTTGAATAATGATTATGAGAAAAGCCCATTACATGTTCGTAGTAGATGATAGACATATTTCAGGTTGATGTTATCAACATATACGAAGTATGTAAATTAGGGCATAGTTTCTACAGTAAATTAGACTATAATTAGCAGGGTATGAGGTCATGCCGGACTTTTTAGAAATCTAAAACGGTCAAACTTATCAATACGAGAACCAAATCAAACAAGAGTTCCACGATCTCATACCTTTGCCAAATGATGGTAACCCTTGCGGGTGACGAATTATACAATTTTAATCATTGATTTTGTAAATAAGAGCCTCATTTGCATGGATTATATCAGTTGATCATATTCTCCATCCAATGACAGCCTTATCATGACAAAAAGGCTATTAGTATTATAGCAATTCCTCATAAATTATGCAAATGAGGTCATGATTCTCCTTCACTTAACTTCCAAATGTGGCAAGTATGAAATTCGGGGTGCAGCAGTTACAACTATGGAATTATAAGAATTTGCCATTAATTATGCAAATTAGGTCCTCATTTACATAATCTATATCCTCAGATGCTTTTCTCGTTCTCAAGTTGATGTCACAAGTGTTTCATAGTTCTAATATCGAACAAAGTAGATTTATAGAATTTCCTCATTAATTATGCAAATTAGCTCGTGATTTGCATAATTGCCATCTGATTATGTCAAGCATCACTTCAACTACCTACATACCAAAAATCACGACAATACGTCAACCGGTTCTTGAGTTATCGTCCTTCAAATTTTTTTCAACAAATGCTCCTGCAGTTCCAGAACAAGGCGCTAAGAGACCCAAACTCATGTCACTTCTTCCCTACTCCAAGAGCTATCTGCCAACTAAAATTCGTGACCCTAGCATGTCCAGATCACGAGATATCAAAACCGGAAGTTCAGCTGCAGTACCTAGGAAAGCCGCCAGGGGGCCCAAAATCTAATCATTGCTAGGTCTCATGAAGAACCTACCCACCTACCAAGTTTCATTTCAATCCATCCATTGCTTCTCGAGTTATCTTGCTAAACCACACACATACACACACACACACACATACAAACGCTACTAAAACATAACCTTCTTGCCAAAGGTAATTAACAAAAGGAATACGAATTACTTTCTATCTTGTGAAAGTATCATCTAAAATACAAATGGATAAAACGAATGATGGCAAAAACAACCAAAAGACGAAATGATAGAGATGGACTAAAAACAATTTACTCAGCAGAATTGTTTGTACACTACATTACAGAATGTGGACGAACAACAGGATTAATATCGACGGTGACTATGTCACCTACTTAAGGAAAATCAGTGACCAATTTAGTTTTAGCAGAAGATTAATTATTTAAGAACCCCTGTACAAGCCTCTTAAAAACTTATTCATACGGATGATCTTGTAACGGCCGATACAAACCCTTCCTAATGAAAGACGGCTTAACGGTAGCATCAGTTCATCTCATGTTATTATGATCGACATTGCACATGTTGATCTTCTTTTTTCCTTAAGATCATTTTGTTACGTATAGTAGAATTATGGCATAAGAATTATATCCTCCTTACATAGATACTTGCACAACGATAGAATAGCTGTTTTTCTGAATAAAAAAAAGGATAAAATATCGTTCGATAGAGGTTTCGGTACGAATGTACGTTTAGCAGCGCTAGCGGTGACCGCAAACAACTGATGCTGCTATCGTTTTTCACTAGCTGATACCTGCAAATGACGAAAAAATGAATTTTTTATAATTCGAAGTCAAAACACGCTTTTGCTATTATTCAAAAATCCATACCATGTAATAATTACTAGTACCTTATTTTGATACAATATGAACATTATATGTGTACATGACAATTAACAGATGCGGTAATTGGAAAGTAAAGACAGCCTGGTTACCCGTTGTGTTTTGGTAGGCATTGTACATCGCCTTCAGTTTCGTGGTTAGAATGACCAGACCAGCTCCTGACAGAAGGCCAAGACCGAAACCAGCTCCGAGGCCTGTAGAGATACCGTCACAGCGACAACCTGTGGACACTGGGACAACAGCAAAACAACGATCAGTGAAACTGTGTAGTCAATCCGCATGCTGGGAGACGCGGGGCAGTATGGGTAGAACAGAGGGCAGTATCATTGCAATGACCACAGACAGGACCGAAACTTGTATCCATTCGAATTCACAGCATGCTCGTTGTCATGGTAATAATGTTGTTTGTCCAGTGTGCTACCCATAGTGCCCCGCGCGCGTCTCCCACCATGCAACTTGATCCGTGAAAATGCTTCGTGCTTAATTTGCATTTCCTACTCGTACGCGACATTGCCAGGGGCCTACTTAGAAATCCACCTAAGAAAGGCATATTCTTTATTGTAAAATAACAGTTTAGCATGTAAGCAGTTAGGTTAGTGCCCAGAAGGTAATTGTTTTTGATAGTACTTGATTGAGACAATAAAAGTACATTGTACAAAGTTCCGTAACGATTTTACAACGGTTATACACACACAAAAGCATAAATACAAACAAATTTGAAGACCACCGACCTGGGGATACAGTAGAAACCCCAGTAGAGGGCACGAGGCAGTTCTCTGTTAGGGGACACATGCAAACATATTAACAATTCCCATATAGATTTTATAACCTTTTCTCCTCGTGGCTAATCAACGGTGCTGCGTAAGAATGTACCTGTGACGGTCATATCCACAATATGCATGTTAACTGGTTCAAGCTGTAACAGACAGTCCTAGGCCTATGAATGATTCAACAATTAAGAGAGCGTAGTTACATATGCAAGTTTACATTTACTTGGTTAAACCACCCAGCATGATGGATAATATGCTTATGGCGGGATCAAAACACCCTATGTGTCCACATTTTAAAACTCTTCAGATATAAACCGACCTGTTACATGGAGGAAGATTTTGCCATTTCTGATGTCCCGCCCGTGAAGTTTGATTTCTCCCTCGTACCAACCCGTGTCATCGCGAGTCACATTCGTCAGAACAAGCTTCAGCTGTCCCTTTCTTGTTCTGTTGCCGTCTTCGCGTTTAGGAAACCACGTCACCGCCACTTCGGCCCTTCCGACGAAATCTCCGTAACAAAACTTGCGGTATATTCCGTTTTCCGACATGAGCTCACAGTAGGACGTCCTGTCCTCTGCCCACACCGTCATGTCGTTCATGTTCGTGACGTCGATTTCGGCGGGAACGCCGAACTTCCAGGTAAGGTTCGCGTTTTGCCCCTCTTTCGCCGTGACGTTGTGCTGCGGTTTCAGACGTATCAATCCGCCATCCATGGCTGACGATGCAGCTGTTTAAGTAAAATGTTTTATTGACCACATGAGATGGAACTCCATAATACAAATATGACACTATCAAACGACAATGCGCCAAACGTCAATTCAGATTACTGATAACCAAAGAAGACCTTTTGAAAGTATGCAAAGGATAAACAACGAATCTGCTGTGCCTGCCCAATCCTGATGACAAACAAGAACAAGGGCAAAGAAAACTACAAAAGGCCGGATCGAAGTCAAACTTATGATGAAATTTCCACTTAAGAGAATATTTATGATACTCATAAATAATGATAAGATAAATATCCATCCATTGTTGCAACAAAGTTACTTGCAGTTCCTCTTTTTATAATTCATACGCTACGTCAACCTGTGTCCTATTTAGCTTTAAATAAGACAATGTTATATGATATTAGTATAATGCCTTTTGTCAAAATATGATTATCAGCCATCGGCTCCAACATAAATCGACTGTAACAGACCATGTCTTAATTGTAAAGTATCGGCAAAAAGCACGAAAATAACATTGTCCTGACTCCATTGCCTGGCGAAAACACATCTATACATCTATATGAGAAGACGTTTACAAAAAGACATATCTTCATTGTCCAATCTATATGATATGAATAAAGCGACTGAAATAAGTCTTCCTACAGTACCGACGCGTGTCCTCAAGGGGAAATCCCAATGAGTAATACGTTCACAAACTATATAGCTATGTATAGCTTCCAGGTTACAACTGACACTTCCTCGTTATTCTAAGGAATTGATTTTAGTCGCATATTGTACTTGATATCAACGTACGTCAATACTACACATCATTGGTAACTTACCGGATAGGAAAAGACAGTAAATGGCAGCGGACAGCAAACAGTCCATGGTGTTCTTTGTTACAGGCTAGTAATACGAGAAGTACTACTACATGTATTATTGGGGAATACCATTACATTGCGGAAATTACCGTGCAGTAACGCCACCGTGCAACAATGAGTAAATTGCACCCAGGAACTAAGTTACGATGAATGCAGGCGACCGATTTACTCATACAGTTGCAAAAAAAATACTCGTTTACTCCTGCAAACTATAAGGATCAGCTTTAAACGGTGCCTACGACTAATCAAATTCTTTCTCCGGAAGGACGACTTGTCCCCCTATCTGGCCGCTGCTCTGTCGCTTCTTCAAGCTTCTTATTGCAACGGAGAATGACAGCGGTCACTGTCAGACCAGTCAGCAGGAGACAGGACACCAGTACTCCGACGACTATCATCGCTGTACGGCCTGTAGGAGGACAATAACTTTAAATACAAATTAATTTTCGGTTTAGATTTGAAATATATTCTTGTGTGGGATACGCCTATACTATATGATTAGTCCAATTTGATTATTCTCTGAATAAATGCATTTCTTAGTATGATACATACTCTACAATTTCGTATTTCAAAATTCATACTCACAGACATTTGATAATAGTATATGTAAATGTAAAACCCCAAAGATTGCTACAACTATGTGCCAGAGTGGACTTGCTACACTTTGTAACCGAATGAACAAAATGTTAAGACAATTACCCAACGGACTGTGTGGTACGCGGTTCTGTTCTCCATGTTCTCCGTTTAGTACAGAGAGCAGGATGTACCCCCTGGCAGCCCCGTATACCAGAGGCACTCTAACTTCACACTCATATTTCCCCTCGTCGTCTGTAGTGATGTTGAGGATTTCCAGCGACGCCTGTCCCACCAGCGCTGTCCTCCCGGCCCATCCGCCGTACCCCTTACTTAACCGTCCCGCCCGATATTCGTACACGATCCGCCTGGTCAGTACAGGCCCCCGGTCCTTCCACCAGCTGACCAGCGGCTGGACATCGTCCGAAGGGACGGAGTAGTTGCACGGGAGAACGGCCGAGCCACCAGGAGGGACGGCTTTGTCTTTCCCCACTCTGACTTGGATGATGGTGACCGCCTCGTCTGTGGGAAAAAAACAAACAATAAAACCCTGTAGTAACATTGGAAACGACTACACACTAGGACTGGAGATAATAACCGTTATGTGTGTATACGCCAAGAATCTTCATTTGTTAGGACAAATCAAGCTGTTGAGAAATGGATATCAAATACATTTGTATAACCTTATGTATAAGAACTCACCTTCGCCCGTTGCCGTATGGGCCACCGTGACCGTGCATGGACCTGTCGCCATGGTTGTCAAAATGGCGACCGTTGACAGGAGATGTGACACCACCATCATGATACGTTACGTGGCCACCAGTGTTAAGAGTACGGTGATCTCTCTGGAAACCGGTGTTTTGTATACCTAAATCAGCAGAGAAGGGACGAGGAGCGAGACGTACAGCACAGCGCGTTAGAAAATGGCGACGTCTGGTTTCGGTCAGGTCCTATCGTTGTATCACAAGGGTCTGACCATTTGTGACGTTTTGTCATCAAAAGATTTCAAACTTCATTACATAACCTTTCCGTCCTCTCATACACACTTGAAAGAACTGTGGATAACAATACCACAGGTTCCGTAATTTTCCTTTTAGTTTCATCATCGATCCTAAAAATAGTCCTGACGATGTGTTTTTTTATTCAACCATTCATTTTGAGATTATTGACGGTAAGAATAAAGAAACAGTATGGATTGTATCGTTCTTTCTGCAAACAGCCAAATTTACAACAACACCTATCCCGAATATTTTGCGGGGATTTTAAGGAATAATCAAATATGTAGAATTCCCCTCCCTCTAAAAAAACAACTTCTGTGTATGCCCCAACATGTCTGAAATAGCCCTAACCTCTGTTTTCATGACATCATTTTATGACGTCATCGAAACCGGTCTATAAAAATGCACGATGACTAACTCTCCACTCAAAGTAAAAACTCTCAGTCCGCTGTCTGTACTTCCATGTCCAGGCATACAGAGGTGATAAAGGCTTCGCTTTTAACTGTTCAACTCTTTCTGTCCTCTCCTAAGTGATGTAATATTATACCTCTGGTTGCTTATGTCTGTGATGCTCTGACTTGCAATATAATATACATGTACCAGGTGACGAAGCCGGCCGTGTACTTTCACTTTCACGATAGTTTCGTTCCCCTTCTGAGAAGTCATACTTAGTTTCGCTAGCAGAGAGGTGAAGTTATCATTTCTCGACACATTTTGGAGTGAACACAGCCAACATTTTGACGATGCTTTCTGAATGCATCAAACCCTCGCAAAATGTTTGCTAACGTGGTTCTTAGTTTTGAAACCAGCATCGGAAGACACCATTAGACGAAGGACTGTGGGGCCGGGAACTTTGCACCAGCGAACGTTTCATCCTTACTGCGGGCCAGTGCGGGGACGTCTGCCTGGGTATGTGTGATTCTTAATTAAATATTGCTAGGGTATACATGTATTTAACTAAGATTGATGTAGGTGATGCGCTTCCGCATCGCAGTCTTTTGAAAAGACAGGTATGTCGAGGTGTTAGTTTGAAACTAGGGATGTGAAATACTAATAATAATTGGGAAAGTGGGGTCGTGTGGCGTGGAACCAAGAGGCCGCGAGTTCGAGTCCTGATATGCCACCGATCTTGTGCCCTTGGGAAAGACACTTTGCTCTACTTTTCTCACTTCGCTCAGGTGAAAATGAGCGAGTATTGTATTGCATTGTATTGTCCCCCGTGTTGGTAGTGCCATTAGTATAAGTTGGAAAAACTTGAGTGTGCCAAAACCACGTCTTGTGATTTTATGTTGGAATATAAAAAAATAGGAAATTCTAAATGCCCACAAACACTGAAGATCAGCTGTCGCATGATACATGGCCTTTTGACACTCAATCCAAAAGCGTATTACTTTAAATGGGAGAACCTATTCTAGAATAGGGTCCGTGGGTGTTGCATACTTCTCTGGCTGTGGATTTAAACAAAAAGGAGGACTGCAATATTAGCAAAGCATTCATTTTATTTTGTTTCGTACAAAAGAAAAAAAACAACCATGCATCAAGACACCTGTTCTATCGATCAGTCCTAGTCGGTTCAGCTGGAGGTCAAGCTGGAGGTCTGACCAATCAGCTGACAGCATGACTCAGCGAGGGGAATTTAAACTACATATACAAACAGAACTTACTTCCGGGTTCTGACGAACGTACATTATGGCTGTGTAACATTTGAGCTTCCGAACTATGGATAGTTATAGATGCATAATAGAAAGGTGTACATTGATTTCCCCAGTCTTACACGTATTACGCACTCGTTTAGACGGTACAATTTTTTGACCAGGACTTAATGCAGTATTGTGATACAGTATTGATGAAAATAGTCAACATTACAGCTCTGTTTTATTGCTTGGTAACATTCATCGAAAATACTACAATACCAGTATAGAATCGACAATCAGTTAACCTTTCATCCAATCAATTTCCTTAGCTTAAGAATGGCATCATACCTTTGAGGAGGTATTTAATCAAAGCACTCAGCATGTTATATAAACTACCCTTACCTATGTCAAGTATATTGCTCCCTGAATTGTATATATCTTAGTATAAATATATGTCTCAATCTATCCTAGTATCTACACTGGAAGCAACTAATAACGTCAAACTGGTCCAACTGGTGGCCTGCAAGAAAATAAAACAGTAGCCGTTAGAATGACGACCATCACTTTGCAAGAGAATAAATTGGCAGGACAAAGTCGTGGCATAGAGATGCACAGTGATCTACCTGAAACCTAACTGTTACAGAGAGATATAATTGGGGAAATTTGTCAGTATTGCATTGTAATAATGGAAAAAGATTCTACCAAGTTCAAGACTCACTTCTCGTCCTTTGTTCGGTAACGCCAGATAGCTGCAGCCAAGCCTCCCATGATCACCAAACCGAGGCAAGCCCCAAAGCCCGCTCCAAATCCCCCTTCGAATCCCCTTCTCCAATAGGTTTCAGGGTCTGAGATGATAAGATACATTTGCAAAAGTCATCAAACTTATTTTATTTTCTCCGGTAAGCATGCGATGTAGATGTATGGTGGAACGGTGTGCATTGTGGTTTGCGCGAGGAGGAGAGAGTTTAGCTGGTTATGTTAACTTATGTTAACATAAGTTAATATAATCAGCGATTAAGACATAACAGAGATCATTGATGTCCAGAGTTACCTTAGCCTGAAATCTAACCTTGTTAGGCTAGAGTTACTGAGCAATGGATTATTTCAATATTCATCTTTACTCATGTGAAAATTCCTATAGATGTATGTTGAGTCGATAAGAAACAGTCACAGTTGCATTTAGCATTTACCTGTTTTTTCTCCAGTGTCCCCGTCCTGTGGTTTCTGCTGACACGCTGACGCATCTGAGGGAAAAACAGACGCTGTGTATGTGTTTACATTTAATATTACACTATGGAATTGGAAACATTTAAGACAGATAGCTTTACCAGGGGAAAGCTATTAGTAAGAACTATAACTATGGACTATAACTATGCATGACATGAAACAGTCATACCTTTCACAGTAAGTATAACGTTAACGCTGTTGAGGTAGAAGTCGGTTTTCAGCTCCGGTCCATAGCGACCTGCGTCGGCCAGACTGACGTTGTTTAGCTGAAACTTGAGCTGACCGTGTTTTGTGCGTTCTCCCGGCTGTACCGGAAACCAGGTATCCGATATGGTGGCGCGCTGGACGAAAAAGTCTTTGCCGTAGCATGCTGAAGTGTTTCCAGAGATATGACAGAAGTTAATTTTATCAGGGGACCAGACTGTTCTTTCGTACACCTGATCTGCGGTGAGGTTAGCAGGAATGGCCATGTGGAGGATGAAGGAAGCGTTCTCGCCCTCGCATACCTCTACCTCTGCATTAATAAATTGCAACCGATTGTCTCGTCGGGCACCTGGTGTAGGAATTCTATCCGAGGCAGTAACGTTAACTGCAGCTAGGAAAAAAGAAAGGAATCAACGGTTAGGTACGTGATGATTTTGCCCCTACATAGCTATGAAATGACCATGAGTATTCTGATACGTTTTGATACCACCCACCGCAATGACCTCTGTAAAGTCTTTCATATAACCATACCCAGATTCCGCCACATTCATCCACCACACTCCGCCACACTCCACGCGCCACAATGATACCCAAACTGTCGTCGCTATACTACTCCCCACCCCCCATCAAAGACACCGTGACTTGGTAAATTTCGTGATGAAATCAGTGCATACACCTACCCCTTTCATGAGATTTGCGTTGTAGTAATGTTACAGCATGCGTTCCCTTACACCAGGTGTTTTGAATGGCGATTCACAAAACCACAAAAATTCTGCTAAGTCACGTTCACGCAATCCTGGACTGCTAAAGCATTTCACAAACTTCGTACGTGTTGAGAATAATTACCATTTCGTCCTGCCCTTTGCTGCCTATCACATCAACCTAGAAATTAAAACACAATCCCGCATTTTAATATGCTATCTTCAAAATGCTGATTCTTTCCAACACGCCCTCCACTAAGAATATCTTTTAAAATTTTTTGTAAAACTCCTCTAAGATTGAGTCAGGAAACGGTCTCACCTGCTGTCGAATAGCCAACTGCTAAACAAACCAGAACTGTACACATCCAGTGAGAAGCGAAAGAAAGTGCCATTTTGGGACGAAATGCAGCCCGACCGTTTGCCAGCGTCCAGCCTATGTCGTGATATTGTTTGTAAAGTGACGCTTCAACACGTTACTCGTACATGACGTAAGACACATGCAACAGTGCACGCGAGTCATTTCCTGCATGCCCCACCTTAGGGACTGTACTATATTTACCGGGGGGAGGGACGAGGAAAATAGCTTGGATGGAGGGGAAAGCCAAGGACAATGTTTCTGTTTTTCCGGATCCATGATACCTTCCGATGACGACTCACGCCTTCGGCACTCTGGCAGGTAAACTGGACCCTCTGTGGCCGGCCAGATAACTCTCCTGGCCATTTACATCGTTTTTAGACCATCACAACAGAGACACAACAGAGTGATATATCCTCGAACGCACACATGCACACACTCACACCCACCTTAAAATCCGACAGGTTGCCCTTCCTCGGTATATGTCCACTAGATATGCCCTGAAATACTGGTAGTCTATATGTACGAGTACATGACATGTGACGCTATAGACGCTACATGCATTTTCTCAACTAGTAATTAGCCCTTGTCCTGCTGGCATTCCTGGCACAATATTTTTCAATAATTACATGTCTTAATTAGATCATAGACCCCCAAACGTTTTTGCCCTGCAGTGGCATAGTTTAGGAACGTTGAACAGACTCTGGTAGAACCACTGAGAAAGGCTAGAAATCTTCATATTGTGGTCATCTTTGATCTGAGGATACACATGTACGTAAACGGGGGGCTGGGCACTATACAAGGTAATATGATCTCATGTACGTTCCCCCTTAAGGTCATTCCCCTTTACTCAGATCATTCCCCAGACTAAGTAGTTCATAGGTCAAAATAATAAGGCAGCGTTTTAACTCGTTTAAACTCGTGCGGTCTACCATACAGTTGGGTTCTGAATATACAAAGTTGCTTTATCATAGTACTTAGCCATTCTGTCAAAAATGACTATTCAAGGCAGCAGTCCTTTTCTCGGATGATGACAATTATTTGTGAGTAAAATCTTAGTCTATTATTGTATGGTATGGACATGACTCTCTCATATTGTTTGTCTCTCACGTCATTGGTTTCCCCCAGTTCGGTAACAGAAATATGGAGTCAGCAGATAATCCGGGACTTTCCTAGCACCCATCACGTGATGCGCAGTCTACCGTGCCAAGTCATGTCTGACTGGCTGAGAAACAAACAATTGGCTCTTGTTCAAACATAATTATGTGAACAGGGACTCAATTCTTTTAAAAGGTCACTAGCGAGTGTAAACTAAAGCTATATCTTGACGTCCTATAACTGTAGAATATATATGAGCAATATGCATCCTCCTCTCTTACTTAATTGTAACCCGAGCCAAACAAGTGGAGTACGATTTTAAATGACTGCCATGGAGTGTCCCGTTGCAAAAGAAAAACCCCTATTACGTCACCTTTATGCAAACTCAGAAAATACTCGTATCAACATATCGCTTAACGTGTGGGACGTTGACACATTTTCAGACTTTTTTCGATGTCTTTGACTAATAAATACACATCGCTATAGAGTGGTGCATGCACACACACATGCTCACACTCACATCCACCTTAAAATCCCACAGGTTGCCCTTCCATGGCATATGTCCAAACATGCCCTGAAAACTGGTATTCTGTAGGCATATGATAATGATACGTAACGATGCACGCATTTCTTTCCTAGTAATTAGGAACGTTGAACTCACCTGGTACCAAATAATACAATGATGCCACATACAGAGTCCACTGAGAAAGGGTGGAAACCTTCATATTGTGGAAATCTTTGATCTAGAAATAAACGAAGGTCTTGCATCCACTGACCCGTATGGCACTATACAAGGTAAGATGATGTCATGTAAGTTCCCCCTAAGGTCATTCCCCTCTTACCCAGGCCATTCCCCTGACTAGCGCATAGGTCAAAATAACGCAGCGTTACTTTTTACCAATTACAAAGTTGCTATATCATATTACTTGGCCATTCCATGATTCTGTCAAAACATGTCGATTCAAGGCAGCAGACGACGCGTGATCTGTGGAACGTATACGCCCGAGCAGGGAGAAAAGCGACACGATTACGTCACACGTTCTGTACCCGCGTGCAGCTACATAAAACACAAAGATTATATTGTAGATGACGTCCTACAGCCCTGCTTCACACCTTTGTCCGTGACGAAGGGTGGAGTTAGACCAGAGGAGGTTTTGATGCATGTTTGTGGGTTAGAATACATTGATTTTGTAAGACTGTAAAATTTGCCGCCTACTCCCGAGGTGAGTAGTTTGTATCGCAGACCTTCGGAGAGTAGCAGTAGCATTAGCATCACTTATTATCATTCTACTGTTCACTGTTGTTATTATGTTCTTGCAATTAGCCCTCGGGCATGAATTTGCAAGAAACTTTCTTTCTATAAAACACAGACGTCCTTTTGTAAAGAAAGTAAGGTCTTTTTCTTGGTGTATCAAGTTGACTCATTCAATATTATTTGTGAGATAGTCCATATGGTGCTTTATCGTCTAGTAGAGCTGAACTTGAGTATCATGTATGTGGGAATATTCTCGACCACGCTAGGTGGGAATTTCCACCGTGCGAAGAAATTTCCCCAGACTAGTTTGACATTCAGAGGCGTCTCCTAGCGATCGCTAGTCGCGCGGCAACGAGGACTCTAAAAATCACAACTACGTACTGCAGTATGTGAGATATTCATGGCGTGTAATTCGTATTGGGGGACATTTGACAGCAGTTGCAATGTGTATATTGTGTCAGTATATCTCAGAGTCAACTTTAACTAAAATCAACATATGGAAACCCGAGTAGTTTCACTTCACCAAAAACACGCCAAGAGGCGCTATTTATGTGACCTTGGAAATCCCCACTCGAAAAGGGGAAGTAAATACAGCAGTGTTATCCAGTGTTTCAGTCACAATCGAGCTCGGTCGACGTCTGCACGCGCCACAGCAAGAGCGTACGCTCTTAGCCACTTCTTTTGACTGGCTACAATTTTGGTACTTCAGGACCTCTGGCGTGGGAAGTAAAGGAAAACGGCACAGAGGAAAAAGGATATCTACACCCAGCCTATCAGAGACCGGAGCAAAGTCCATCAAATCCAGCAGGCAAGGTTATTGTAAATATATAGATCCGACAGACTAGTTAACATCTTGAAAGACCCTTAGTTGTTTTATTAGTAGTTACTAGCTACAAATCTATTGAGATTGATGCTGTGATTTGGTAGTGACGGCATGTCTTAGATATTTCTGCCAGCCTCGTTGAAAGTAAAAGTGAAAGCATTGTCGAATGTACATAAGTCATTGGCGCCGTAGCTGGCTCCTGATGAAATGTCCTGTGGGATTGTTGTCACCATGCATAATAGATGCGACGATAACCGAGTGTTTCACGTACATGTATATTTTCAAAGTATATGGTCTAAGTAGGTTTGCCACATATCGAGGCATAGCGGGGTAAACTACATGGTGGGTGCATAGAAAAGCCCAATGACACAGGTGCGCCGTTGTCATGGCTCACTATGTATGTACACGTAATGAATCATCCAAGTTTCGCTTCCTCTTTTTCATTGTTATTAATACGGTGTACCCGCTTTGTGCCGTGTAACTTGAATACGTAGCCTAAACAGAATGGAAACGTCATTTACTGAACCCTCCACATTTCTCTCTAGCCGCCTTCCTTCATTGTAGATTTCGAACTAATAGTATGTACGGTTATACTTTACGGGCTCATTTTCTTAGGTAGTAGCCCGCAAACTGTAAGCACAAGTAGAACACGTTGTTTTGTATCCTTTAGAGCGACAAGTCTCCCCGCCAAAATGCAGTCCAGGCTCCATGGCAACTTCACTGTACAGAATTTGAAGTTCAAGACTCGAAGAGTCCCCAAGACTCCCTCCATCCCGCTCATTTTACCAAACGACCTGAAGTACAACTCCTCTAGAGGGACAGTGGAGAAAGTCCGCGGCGCACGCCGTACAACCCTGGGTGTGGTACCGGAGGCTCTGGAGCTGTTGGAGGGAATAAATGGCCCCGTCAGCGCGCTATCGATATGTGGGCCGTGTCGAACGGGGAAAAGCTATGTTCTATCTAGGTAGGTCAGCGTCTAATATTCACATGCATATACAAGAGGGGCGGAAATCCCCTTCTAGACTTCAACTGCAAGGTGTCTCTTTACGGGGAGTGAGGGTGGCGTTTGCTTATCATCTTCGCCAAGAAGGTTATGTTTTCATGGCCCATTCATTCTCAACAAGAACACGGTGGCGTATCGCCCATGTTTGTATGCAATCAGAACACAGCACATAGTACCCCCCCCCCCTAACAAAGCCCAGCCTAGTGCTAAGTGCTAAACAGTAATGATTTAGTGCTACGTGATTTTGTAGGTTGCTAGGCTCGGCAGACGCCTTTGAGCTGGGGCACCGCTGGGACCCGCAGACGTTCGGCATCTGGATGGGCACCAAGGTGCTGAAGGGCGCGGACTTCACTATCCTGCTGCTGGACACGGAGGGGATAGGTGGGTATAGGTGCATTGCTATCAATAGACGCTAAAAGTCGCTTTATGCATATACTAAAGTATCTTGGGGCTCACATGAAAAATCTTGGCGCCTTTCTTTCCCTTCTTTTTCTGACGAATTGCATGTGCGTCTCTCCTTTATTCCAGACGCATCAGGGGGAAGCGCAGACCGGGACGCCAGTATTTTGGTGTTGACCATCCTGATGTCTTCTCTCCTCGTCTACAACTCCCTCAACGTGCCGTACAAGGGCGACCTGGAGAAGATGCAGTGAGCAGAGAACTTACTTTTCGAATAACCACACACTAACTAGCTGGCCAATGAACTTACGCCATAATAATCAATTTAAAAATATGGTTTCTGATTGGTCAACGTCACCTGGCTATATGATAATCACTTTCAACGCGTGCTCTCGTGCGATACAGGTGGCTCTGCTTATAACCTGCTTTTCTCACATTCCATACATTTCCGACCAGATGTAGAATTTGTTGTTTTGCTGGCTGAGTTTTACTTTATCGTGTATCAGATGTTTCATCAAGTTGGCTAAAGGCGTGACCGTGAAGAAAGGCCAGAAGACGCAGATGTCCGACCTGCGTGAGTTCTTCCCTGACTTCCTGTGGCTCCTGCGGGATGTGTCACTGATGAGCACGGACGAGAACGGGCGGGAAATCAGCCCCACACAGTACCTCAAGACTCGGGTAAGGGCGGGGAAGTACCCTCTGCTGATCGCCCCTGTATGTGACTATTTAGTCAATCAAGTTCTCCCGTACTGACATAAGTTTATAACACTGCGGCCCCTCATTTTAAAAGACATTTAGCACAAGCACATGTATATCATAGTTAGGAAGACGCACATGACAGTTGCATGTCCTAACGTCACGTGTCTTGTCTCTAATTCTCAGGTTCTCGCACGAGGTGATGACTTCGAAGAGACACCTAGCGACATGGTAGGGCGCGCCATCCTCACGTCCTTCCCATCTGTGGAGTGCTTCACCCTGGAGCGTCCTTCCGAGAATAAACAAATCATGATCAACATCGCAGACCACACCGACGAGCTGAACCCAGAGTTTAACAAGGGCGTGGAGACTCTCATCGGCCTCCTGCTGCAGAAGTCCCGGCCCAAGAGGGGATACTACCGGGGCTCGACTGTCAACGGTGAGCGGTTCGACTAAAGAGCGAAATACACAGGAATAGACGAAATAACAAAATACAGCGATGTACATATGTATTTCCCTATTATCCCATTGAAGTTGTAAGTGACAAACAGAAGGAAACTGATTGTCAGAACACCCCTAAAATTTGTTCCCTATGCTGTATAAATAGTCATTGACAGAGAAAAAAAAAACAATATGCTTTCTTTCGGTAAACATAAAAATCCTAACATTCAGCGTACGGTTTCCCCCGGAAGGCGTTGCTCTGAGCCTGATGGTGAAGCAGTAAGTGGAGGCGGTCAACGACCCGCAGGCCATTCCCGCCCTGGACAACACCTGGAAGAACACCATCCAGCTCATGCGCAGTAGCGCCATCCAAGAAGCTATCCAGGAGTACAGAGAAGAGATGTCGGTACGGGATTTTTTACGTTATGTCATAAAAACAACCCATGTCAGAAAATTGTGTCAATGTCTCTGTCTTTATGAAAAATGACTGACGGATATTGCATTAAATTTATTTTATCCATGTGTACAGGTATACTACATATCAATAAGTATTATGATTTTCTACGGTTTCTACATCGTCTCAAGCATATTCAACTACATTGCAATAATTGAACCATTTTCGCAACACGTTTTGTGTGTTCTAGGCTGGAATCGCCGCTGCTTCTCAAGATGAATCCGTACCAATTGTACTGGATGAAGACATTGAAAATGAAAGGTAATGATCTGTATTTTCGTTTTTTGTTGAATCATCCTCAAGGTTTCCATGTTGTATAGCAGACTGCCTTTGCTATTGACAGGTTATCTGTCAGAAGAAATGTATAACACCTTGCTTAATCTAGGAGTCACTTTTGATGAAATCTTATACCTTGTTCCAGCGAAGAGGCCTTGTCACTGATGGTAATACACAACAAGGCATTCAACAAAGTCACATCCTCGCTACTGGATAAGATAGGACATTTGGGCATCGGTTCTGGTGACCAGGGTGAGGAGAGCGAAGCAGTAGTTCGGGAAATGCAGGATCGACTTGGTGAGTAGATTGTAATGTGCAAAATAGCGCCATTGTAGTATCATCAAGATCTTATGCTGCATCATTGTAGACTTTGCTATCCATCAGCTATCTCTATAGTTGAGACCATTACATATCGGTTCCTCTCCTTGGGTTACTGCGCCATAATGTCGTTTGGTGTTGAAGACTGTTGCCTTTAATCAAATGACTGTATTCTTTGTGCCGTTTCTAGTTCACAGGGAAGAACGAACGATTGAGTACGTGGACGATGAGCTTGTGACCCGCCGGGGACAGGGCATGGTGGTGGTCGGTGGAGAACTGTACGGAATCCTGCAGGACAATCGCTGCAGATCCCGGGCCCACTGTACGGACATCTTCAACATGTTGTTTGAGCCAGTCCAGAAGAAAATCGAGTCTCCGCCTCCAGGGTACGACTTTAGGGGCGTCTTGGCTGAGTTGCAGAGGATCCCACAGCAGTACGACCGGTGGGCGCGAGGGCCCGAGAAGTGGGCAGTCCTGCAAGAGATGACCAAGAACTTGGACTCTCTCCGGGCCAACATTAAGAAAATGAGAGGATACCAAGAAAGGTGAGTTACCTGTGAAGATATTTCTCAGATATTGTCTACGGAGACAAACTACTACATGTACCATGTTGGCATTGAGGACAAAGGAATGCTGAGTATAATTTTGTTCCTTCTATAGCTGCTGTTGGAGCAGCAGAGGGCTCACCAAGCAGAGCTGGAAGCTGAGAGGAAGAACCGAGAGGCCAGACGTCTGTACAACCAGCAGCAGGACATGCAGCGGCTCACAAGGAGACTCTGGAGAAGATGAACCAACTTCACAAGTGGCAGATGGCAAAGGTGGGCCAAGAAAGGGACTGTCCCTTGCATGATAAGGCAAATCTTATGTCAAATAAAGATCGACTATATTTTGATATGTTGTTAATATCTTTCGTGCATTGCGTCAGCCGCGGATCATTCTTCAATTTTTGTATGAAGATTTGATGTGGAAATTCTGCTCCAAAATACATTTCTTGATGCCTCATGTATCAATCCAAGCCCCCATAGAATGCTTCTAAACTGGACCTTTGTGCTGATTATATATGGGTTTCACACAATCACCCAGTCATGTTTTAATTAAGATGGCTACAGAACTATAAGAACATTACTGCCTGAGCAGCACTACAAATTTAGCCAACTGCATGAATGTTCCTCCATTTCAGGTGAAAATGGAAGGAGAGGTGCGGCGTTGGGGAGAAGAACAGAAGTTCGAGGATTTCAGAAATGCACAGATGGACGAGATGGCAAAACTAACCAGGGTAAATAATATCTCCGATTTATGTACTTTAGCTGTCTACATGTATATGGTATGTATGATTGTATGTCATCTGCCCTGTATTACCAAAGTAACTTTTGTTCGTCTTTCTGTCCAAGGAGTTGCAGGAGAGACATGACAGGGAGGTGCAACAGTTGAAGTCCCGGATGCAGAGACAGCAGGATGATATGAACAGGCAACTGCGGGAACTTAACGACAGGCTCAATCGGCCACCACGTTAGTATTGTTCATGGGTGCGTGCAAACAACAAAACCTACATGACAAAACATATGTGTTTCTTCCTCTTGATGCACACATCTTTCTTCTAAAACGAGGAGCTTCACTCACTCACTCACTCACTCACTCACTCACTCACTCACTCACTCACTCAGACACGATCATTGAACGTTTTTGTGTTGTTATTTCGTCCCCTAATTTCATGACCCTCACGAGCCTGTACTATCAGAAACATGCAGCAGTAACATCAGACTCTCTCCTCTCCCCAGCCCCGCCTCCCCGGCGTCATCGTAAAGGTGGCTGCGCCATCATGTAGATACTCGTAACAACGCAGGCAATAAAACTATTGTCATGGCGACAATTGGAGTTTAGTTTATGTGGTGTTTATGTACTTTAAATACCTTGGCAGTTATGGTAACACAGTCCATGATGTGAAATGTAGGATTGGGCAAGCTTGGGGGGCTTCTAATGCCCTAACAAAAGTGTGGAAATCCCCAATAGCCAACTCTACCAAGCTAAAAGTCTTTAAAACCTGCGTTGAGTCAATCCTGCTCTACGGAGCTGACTCGTGGTCTCTGACAGCATCCTTGTGTAAACTTCTGGATGGGAACTACACCCGCCTGCTTCGTGCAGCCCTTAACATTTCATGGAGGAGTCATGTGACCAACAACCAACTTTATGGAAATATGCCTCGGATTACAACAGTCATCCGCAACCGTAGGCTGTCGCTGGCTGGCCATGTCATGCGACACGACGAAATGGCAGGGTTGGTACTTCTCTGGTCACCAACAGAAAAGCGGAGACGCGGTCGCCCTTCTTTAACTCTGAAGAAGGTAATAGAGGGGGACATAGGGGCTGGGCGGTGCTGAACTGTCCTCTGTCATGCGCGACAGGAACTTGTGGAGGCAGTACATCGTGTCACCTGATTGAAGGATGAACTGAACTGAACTGAACTTATGTAGAAACATACGTATGGTATTGCGGTTTCTTTGTGCTGTTTTATATTTATGTCTATATTAAGCGATCTGTTTATTGAGCATAGTGGTACAGACGTAACATACCAGGGAAACCTGATAATGTGTAGCCTAATGCTGTATTTGTTATTGTTGTTAGGGTGGTATTTGCCATCAAGTGTAGATCAATCTTGGTCTGAGGAACCATTTATCTCCATTACATTAACCACGCACGAATGCATGCAAATAGTGCAAATTCCTGTGGAATCGCTAGAAAGTTTCTAAGCTAGTTTATTATGCTCGCCAAAAAGACGTACTCAAGTAGTTACATGTATGTGGCATTATCTTAAAAATTTTTGTCTACTCTCCTGGTCATTTTCAGTGTTTTAATATTCCGCATAAGGCATGAGAATTTATCAAATATTTGCCTACATCGTTCACCTTCTCGTACAATACAGATCTAAACAGTTTTTTCTTGTGCAACCAATGATGAATTCTATTTCGTCAACTGTGATAAACTCAGCAATTCTATATGTCTATTTGATATCGTTAGATGCATGAATTATTTAACTGTGACTTGATTCATAGTACATGTAGTATAATGATAATAATAAAGGCTTCTTACTATGCTACTGTACTTTGTGTTTTCCTTACAATAACGTACTGTACCTTGTTATCCTTCATTCAGTATAGTAGTGACACACTATATCCTCGCAGTGTACTGTACGTAATCAATTAGTGGAGCGTGTCAAGTTAAAACATGAATGAGTAAAAGTCTTTTTCTGTTCGAACAAGTTATTTTAGTGTACATATTATGCGAAAATAAAGAGGAAATGATTTTACATCGTTGCTTTGAAGATACATGCAAGTCAACAGAATAGGAGAAACCTTCGTTTTGACCAAGTTCCTGTTGGATTACATGCCAGTGACCTCATTATATATTGCAGCGCCCCTTCTCCGGGCGGACAAATGGTTTATCCCGTTGTCCTCCTGTTGAACTTGTTAGTAGGGCAAAGGTGAACCCGACAATGCTCAGAAAGAAACATGGTTGGTGCAAGTAGAGTGATATGGGCTGTCGGAAAATCGTTAACAACCAGAGCCATAAAGCCATCTTCTTTGTCAGTTATACAAGCACCTTACAGATACGCAAACAAGGTAGGTTGTTGTCACTATTGTACTTGACCTTATAGAAAACCATTCTGTTATGTCTATGTGTGTGTCTGTCAGTCTGTGTG